TACAGCTGGTGAACGCGAAGAAGAAAAAGAAGACGGTCACAAAAGAACCTGTACAAACGCGGATCCCAAATACCGTTGAACGTCAGGATAAGACTGTACCTGGAATATACTTTCCACTATCCTGCGAATAACGGTCCCACATTATCGAGGCCGAAAATATACCCTAACAGGGCTTCAGTCACTGTCAAGTGCGGACTTCCGCTACCGCCGAGAGTATCTCGAGCAAATAAAATGATGGAAGCAGGAAATGCGGTAGCTGCTGCTCGTGAGTCCCAGCCATCTAGTTTAGCCCCAATCCACGCCGCGCGTAGCGGCGTGGGAGATACCCTCGGCGGTGGCGGAAGTCGCCGGAAGTGCGTAATTTAAGTCGCCGGAAGCCTGGAATTGACATGTGACTGAGGCCCTGAGGGTATATTTTCGGCCTCGATAATTTGGGACAGTTATTCGGAGGATAGCCTAAATTTATGTAACCTATGATGTCTTGTCAATGGTTAAAGATGATTCTGTCCGTATTCTATAGTTATGGACTTCAAGCTGTACGATAGACATGGCTAATAAAGACACATTTTCTTTAGGCGTGCGTAGTTGGTCGTGTTAGTACACTTGTTTTCATAGCGAGGTGCTCACGCTATTTGAAGGTGACAGGTTCGATTCCCAGCAAGGTAACTATAGCTTTCGATTTGAATGTTGTCTAGTGTGTCCTTCTTTCCTTCTGTCTTTCTACGTCTTTCTCTAAATGCCAGTCAATAGGTTGTTTGCTTACTACATACCTGGAAAGAAGTTTTTCATGATACGAGGTCAAGTTCGCCATTTTATTTTCGGGCCTTAGAATACGAGGCGACATCCAGGATGCGAGCTGGGGAGAAGAGAATCCCCGGCGTTGTCCGATAACATCTGGATAACTTTTAAATGCAATAGCTCACGTTAACATTGCCGAAATTGTACTTAAGCCAGTCGACAAGGAACTTGATGATGACGACTGTGGCATCATGGTCGGAAATAACCCCGTTTTCCGCTTCCTGAAAAAAGCAGCTTACATATTCCCCCTGTAAACGAATTAAAAGCATAGATTTAAAAAACAAAAATGATTTTTGGAAGTTTGGGAGGAATTAAAATTATTTTTCAGGATATAATTTGTTCACCATAAGAGCTGGTCACTTGAAACGCCACGAAAGTTTGTAAAGAACAATAATAGAGGGGTATATGCCTGGGAAAAGTGGAAGAGGAAGGCCAAAGAGAAGATGGGTGCAGGATGTGGCGGAAGATCTCCAGATGGGTGTATCGGATGTGGGACATCTTGTTTGTCATCGAGAAGTTTTCCCGAGGGCTGTTATGGGGGAAAAGTTCTGCAAAGGACATGCTGCTGACTGACTGACTGACTATAAATACTTAGTTAGGGAACGGATTTAGTGTGTACCCTGGGGTGCCACTGTGCTGTCCCTACATTATGAACGTGTACACGGTTCCTACCCCCAGATGACGTCACAGGACAGTCCAATATTTTATAGGGTGGTAAGACTGGGTTTCCCTGCTTTCTGATGCTTTTAACAACCCCAAAACTTCGAGAACTGGCCCTAACCCCAACCCACCTACATTCCACGAGAAATGTGCAGCCTAGGTCCCACGACTACATGCAACCTATCTGCCACCCCCTGAAACATTAGACTCTCCTGTGACCTGTGGATTTGTTGGGGTATGATAATAATAAAGCACCCTTGTACACTTGTTGACCCTAAATATTTACCTTTCATTAGGAATGTTCCGGCGTCAATTGCTGTCCATATATTACAAAGTTTTAGTTAGTATGTAAAGGAAAGTAAAGTAGAGTAAAGGACCTTTTTCCACGCCTTCAAACATATTGGGCATATAGGGCTAGACCTCTATTTTATAGATCAGTCGTCACTTAGTGGATGATTCTCTGCCTTATACTTTGAATGCGTGTGTATGTTAGTGGATATGCCGAGACTGCAGTCTGTGTCCATGTGTCCACAAGGGACAGTGTTGGAAATTCTGTGTGTTTTCTGTGTGGACACCATTGAAAATCACCGCATTAAACACTTCGCTCAAATTCTTCAAGAATGATCTCATTTTGACACAAACACCACTTCCTTAAAAACCGGGTTTCTTGAACGAATCAAGTAAGTTTACAAAGAAACTTTTCACTACCTTCTTGGGATCAATACATGCACTTGTGATCCCTAGTGTGGACTTTCTTCACGCAAAAAAAAAAAAAACGTTGTCTCAATAACCAACCTCCGCTTCTCCCCTTACAACCAAATCGACAAATATCACGCCATTGTTTTCAATTCCATGTCTGCTTCTTTCATCTTCCCCTTTCTGCTTCACCTAGTTTCCTTTCTTCAATCTTCACCAATTGAAAAAATAAACAAAAAATATTCTTTACAACTTCTCTCAAGCGCGGGAACTTCGTCGGACAGTGAAAACATCGTCTGATTATCGATAATATATCACCGTGAAAAGACTCATTTTCTTCCTCGGCTGGTTCTCCGGCTCTGATTTTTATTATTTACACGAGAAATCGATATGTTTATATCGGTAATTAAAAATCCTTAGGGTGGCTATGGTAGTGTGATTACCCGGGTATCGAGTCTGTACCCGAGCAGCGCCATCTCCGGTGTTTATTTTTTAGTGATTGAGGGGGGAAATAGAATCCAGCTCTTGATTGCGCCATGTTAATCGGTAACTAAGTGTTGTGTGGGGATTATCCGTTCTGCCTGCTCCTAGACAATGGTGGATGTGAAAGACTGCCATTGTTTAATGATTTTTTCTTTTTCTTTTTAAACTATGAAAGAACTGAGAAACCTCAGTACAGGGCTTCTGTCTGTCTGTCTGTCTGTCTGTCTGTCTGTCTGTCTGTCTGTCTGTCTGTCTGTCTGTCTGTCTGTCTGTCTGTCTGTCTGTCTGTCTGTCTGTCTGTCTGTCTGTCTGTCTGTCTGTCTGTCTGTCTGTCTGTCTGTCTGTCTGTCTGTCTGTCTGTCTGTCTGTCTGTCTGTCTGTCTGTCTGTCTGTCTGTCTGTCTGTCTGTCTGTCTGGGCCTTCAATCTATCTAAGCATTTCTGATTGTTCTTCTTCTCCTACTTTCCCTTATGTTCATTTATTTATTTCCAGTATTATGTTTGCTAATTTGTCTTTTTTCTTTCTTTCTTTCTTTCTTTCTTTCTTTCTTTCTTTCTTTCTTTCTTTCTTTCTTTCTTTCTTTCTTTCTTTCTTTCTTTCTTTCTTTCTTTCTTTCTTTCTTTCTTTCTTTCTTTCTTTCTTTCTTTCTTTCTTTCTTTCTTTCTTTCTTTCTTTCTTTCTTTCTTTCTTTCTTTCTTTCTTTCTTTCTTTCTTTCTTTCTTTTATAATTTTAGTTTTAATGTGTTTTATCCATATTAATCTTTAAAATTCCTATCTTTATAAGTGTATATGAGAGAGAGAGAGAGAGAGAGAGAGAGAGAGAGAGAGAGAGAGAGAGAGAGAGAGAGAGAGAGAGATCGAATGGCAGAAATATATTGTGGCTCAAGAACGGATATGGAAGCAAATGATGACATAGTTCCTTCCGCCCTGTCAGACTCACAACAACCTCATCCCAAGCAGCGCTGTGAAGCCTCACAATGTGGCTGTGGATTATCCACGGTGTGGATATATGCTATTCTATCAATTCTTCTGCAGCATTTCACTTCAGATGGTCCTTTTGATTGACTGACTGACTTTCTATCCCACCAGGACATCACACAAGCGATAAACACCCGATGACACGAAGTGCCACCATGTGGACGAGGATCACCGTGGAGAGGTCCCAGAAACCGCGTGTCAGCCATTGGGCTATATTTATGGCCTGGCTATGTTTCGGCCCCCGGCAAGAGCCAGGGTGGGGCTTTAAATAATAAAAAATTGCATCCTAAAAAGGACGGTAAAAAATGTAGGTTTTTTTTAAGGTTCTATAAAGGCTAAATAACATCCCAGGACTGACATTAATAAATTGCCACGGGAAAGATGAATATCTTATTTGGGCCTGTTCACGAATCCCGGCCCATCTACACACTACCTGACCTTTCATTCATACTTTCTCTGGCTCTTCTACGTCGAAGGGGTGTCACGTTGTCTTGCAGCCAATTACGTCAGCGCTGATTCTTAACAACACGACGACACAGCTTTCAACGACCCCAGAACATCTAAAACTGGTCCTAACCTAAACCCCCCTACCCACAGCCTGAGCATAGGTCACACGAGAGAAGTCTTTTCGAAGAGAGCAGTACAAAGTGACACCCCTCTGACCTAGATCAAACTCAGAAAGTGTGTAGATTGGCCGGGAAACGTGAACAAGTCCGCTTATTTGCCTTAACTCGCAGGGACTGGGTCGTAAGCTCTTCGCGCTGTTTAGGCTATGCATTGCTAAAGGAAGCCTTTTCTGACTTTTTTTCTTCAGTCGCCATTGTTGCTAAATACCGAGCTTACATATTCAACATCTGTGACGTTTTCTCTCGATTTGATAAGCGGCGCTGTATGGTCTGGAGGTATAGCATCCGCCTCGGGTTCCAATCCCGGTGAAGGCTGGGAGTTTTTCACGTGGACTTCTAATAATTTACCCTGTTCTCTGGGCAGTAAGACCGGACACCCGTGTGTATTGTTGCGCACGTAAACAAATACCTGAGCAGTTGGAATTCGAAAAAAAAGTAGCTCAACGGCGCTGCCTGGGCAAAATTTAGAGTTGAAAATCTACCCAAATATTTCAGGATCCTCGCCGGTGCTACAGAGTTCGTGCACTGCGCTGAGATTCTTCAGACTTAGGCTTGAGTTGGAAGTAGAAAGGAAGCACTTATGGGTTACACCCGTGTGCTATAATGTTGATTTTTATTTTGAAAAAAGATCTGTTTATCCCTAAATTTTTACGGTGATAATTAATTTTTCCAAGGCCTTTGGAAAGGAGGACTGTGCCATGTTAGGATTTTTAAAAATGCATGTTTTTTGTTACAACTTTTCTTTTTCTTTTTTTACAGAGCAATTTCTTCACTGGACTCGACGACGGATTTTTAACTAGAGCAGAAGTCATGGGAGTTATGGATATTTCCAAATCGTCCAGCGGACACCAGCTGATGAAACCAGATGGACTTTACAGCCACGCTTCAGACTATTCTGGGCACACCAATGGACCACCACGACATCAAATGCCCATGCATCCTCACTCCCACCATCACTCACACCCTCACGCCCATCACGGTTTCAACCCCTCGGAGTCCATGTTTGACCAGTTGACCGGCTCGCCAAATGGTCCTTCAGGCATGCCGTTGGGTCATATGGGATCCATGAGTGAACATCACACGAATATGATGACCACCGGCCCACCTCCTCACCAGCAACACCACCAGATGTATCCGCCTATGTACTCTCATCCTTCATCTGTAGTCAATGCTCATCCAGGGTTTTCCACCCATCCGGGAAACATGCATCACCAAGTTGTCCACGAATCAGACTGTGACCCTCGAGAGCTAGAAATGTTCGCTGAAAGATTCAAGCAGCGGCGTATCAAACTGGGAGTTACTCAAGCTGATGTAGGAGCAGCTCTCGCTAATCTTAAAATCCCTGGAGTCGGATGCCTCAGCCAGAGCACAATCTGCAGGTTCGAGTCGTTAACGCTTAGTCATAACAACATGATAGCATTGAAGCCGATTCTCCAGACATGGCTGGAGGACGCAGAGAAACAAGCTAGGGAAAGAAAGGCGGAGTTGGAGAACGGTCACCTCAACGACAAGAAACGTAAGAGAACTTCTATTGCGGCTCCGGAAAAGCGATCTTTGGAGGCCTACTTTGCTGTCCAGCCAAGACCTTCCGGTGAAAAAATAGCTCAAATCGCAGAGAAGCTAGACTTAAAGAAAAATGTGGTCAGAGTATGGTTCTGCAACCAGAGACAAAAACAAAAGAGAATGAAGTTTTCCGCCATTGCAGCTGGCATGTCAATGGGTCACCACTGATATCTGGTGTTAAGGCCAATGGGTCATCACTGATATCTCGTGTTAAGGTCACTTTACAGATCCAATCAAAACTGTTCACTTGTAGTAATCCAATTCGCGGTCACTACTAAAACTTTCCTCGTATTTAAAAATACAGTTATGCGTGTTTTCCCGCTCCTCCTGTGTTCAAGATTCCGAACTGTTGATCTCTATTGCCTACCTTACTGTACATGTTTTTTAACATTTTACACATGGCTTGATTTTGTTTTTCAATTTTCGGATCCGTCAGAAATCTTGTTTCTGAAATCCTGTTTTGCATGTGAAGCATAAATATTTGAAATTTATAACAACTTACAAAATCCGAAGGAAACGGGCGAAATTCCACAAGGAAACACAAGTGAAATGGTTCGGTCATTTAACTCGACTGTCAAGAAGCAGTATACCCGCGAGCAATGATGTACAGACTCAGCTGGAATGGTCAGACGTAGTTTAAGTAAACGGTGGACAGGGGAAATAACAAAGTTCCTTTAGATTCTCATATACTATCTTTACCGCCTGCATTTGCCATTTTTATGGCGGTGTTAAACAAGGAAGTCGCGAGCCTGAGGATTTAAGGCCGCGTGCCTCCTCTCCTCCTCCCCACTCCTCGGCATACAAAATATCCACCCCTTACAGAGGATCGAGCGCGGGTCCCCCGCATAAAAGCCAGTGCTCTAGCATGTTGGGAGGTTGCTCCTCATATAGACGCATATGAACTTATATTTTCCCGGTATTTATTCCTCATATCTGGGACCTAGATATATGAGTCCAATATTCGAGATTTATTAGCCCTATATGTTGATTGGGGAATTTGAGCACATACAAACGTACAAGAAGGGCCGTAAGGAAAACCCAAGTCATAAATCATTCGAGATTTGATAAATCATTAATAATCGGGTTTTTTCTTAAAAACCTATTACGTATTGTTTTAACTGTCTAATAGATTGACTACAATTAAAAACGTGTTTTCTCTTAATTTGTCTTCTTCTTATGAAAACGTTTTCTAAAAATCGTGTTGGGAAAAAAATAGTAAAATAAAAGCGTATCTGCGAAGAACCAGTACTGAACTTCACATAAAGACAGCAATCAGACTGGTTTGCCAACCGAGAAAGAATGTCTTACGATACCAGTCACTGCTTGGATACAGCGCAATGCCGGCTTTTGTGATTTTAGCGCCAACACTCAGCTGCAATTCTGGCTTGGGGTCGTTGGTGTTAGCAAATCTGTCAGCTGCCTTATGCGTTTTTACTTTTCGTGCACAATCTTCAGGATTTTCCTAGGACTGTCACATTTTGCACTACTTTTCAAATGGCCCCGCGAATGGCATTTTGTTACAGCTCCGCCCACCTGCAGTGATACTAAAACCTCAACTAGTTACCTAATGAATGACTTACAATACCATACCATACACGGTATATGTTAAGCAAGAGCTGATTTTAACATCACAGCACTCGGGGAATTGCCATAAACGTTCCGCTCCCATCTTCAGTCGCAAACGCAGAGTTCCAATACCAATGGTGACAGTTGCATTCTGTTTATATATCCGTCTCGCCTTTCCTCTGAGCGTCGGGTATCAGCCAGATCCCCCTAGTCATTCCCCGCTGCATCACTCTCACCAGACTGTGGTGATCAATCTGCTACTCCGAATCGTACACGTTCTTTCCCAATGTCCTAACCACGTCTGCCTTATACATCAATATTCCACCAAGTTGTGCAGAGCCAGCCAGTCTGTCCACCTGTCCATTTCTCAACACATCGGCATACCCAGAAAAAAGATCCAGACAATGCTCCTTACCCGTGACCTCTAAAGCGAAGCAGGCCACTCTGCACGAAGCGTGCCTCTCCTCACCAATCGAGAACGCGGACCTAGTGCCTGAGGTAGACCAAGAACAACATTGAAAGATAGCAATAGCGACATTCTACAAAAGCTTCCAGCGGCAATGGTCCCACCTGCTAGAAAGCCGGAACCAGAACCTTGTATCTCCTTCGACACTCGACACGGTGAAAGAAGAAACGAAGAAGAAACGAAAAAGAAACAGTAGGTGGTAGATCTGTCAAGTTGGAGGCATTCAGTTCCAGAACTTTGCAAATAACCCCAGATCTGTCAAGTTGGAGGCGTTCAGTTCCAGAACTTCGCAAATAACCCCAGATCTGTCAAGTTGGAGGCATTCAGTTCCAGGACTTCGCAAATAACCCCAGATCTGTCAAGTTGGAGGCGTTCAGTTCCAGGACTTCGCAAATAACCCCAGATCTGTCAAGTTGGAGGCATTCAGTTCCAGGACTTCGCAAATAACCCCAGATCTGTCAAGTTGGAGGCGTTCAGTTCCAGGACTTCGCAAATAACCCCAGATCTGTCAAGTTGGAGACATTCAGTTCCAGGACTTCGCAAATAACCCCATGGATGTATTAGCTGCTGTGTGATCTTACAAGATACGTTTATTTTCAGTCATTTGTCGTTGCTTTCTGAACGAAATGACGCTCATGCAAAAATAAACGCAAAATCATATCATAAAACCGATTGATAGCGACTTTCGAACCCCGGTATGCTAGCATTGTGGAACTGCGTTCTCAATATCTAAGCCTGAAGATGCTGTCAAAGAAGTGAATGAATTTACTGACAAATGTGTGATATGTGTGTGTATGTGGTGTAATGTGTGGTGTATTTATGTGTTGGTGTGTATTTGTGTATGTCTATAAATGGGTGTGTGTGTGCATTTGTATGTGCGGGTATTTGTGTGTGTGTTTGTGTTTGTGTGATGCGCACCTGTGCCTGTGTGAATTGGCTTGTTGTGTGAATATGTGTGGTATTTGTTTTTGTATGTTTATGTAAAGGTATCTGTGTTTTAAACATCAACATACTATCAACTTTGTGCTTACGTTCATTTGCGTCAGTCATTTATCAGTTTACCCGGGTTAAATGCACAATAACAGAATTATGAAGATGTATTGAAGGAAACTGACTCACGAAGAGAACTGAATGCCAAAATCAGAACAAGAAAAAGATCTACATTATTTAATGCCGGGTTCGATCCCTCTTGCAGGCAATTTGGCAGCAGACCGTTTGCTTTCATTTCGGCAGTGGTATCAAATGCCGATTGTTGAAGAAGCAATGGCAAACTACTTTTCTTAATATCCAAAAACCAAGATTCGGTACATTGGATATCGCAACCCTTCGGCTTTGATTCTCTGATCGATACCATAAATCTGGGAAGTATATGGCTTTTTTGACTAGCCCCCGAGCGTCAACTCGGACCACAAGGAGTTTGTTACCCGGTCGCCGTACAGCTAATTTAACCAACTTAGCTAGCGCGCTGTAAAAGGAAATGCAACTTAATTAACACGACATCGGAGGTTGTGGAAAGGCATGACTATCAACGCCCTATCAACGCTACACGACACTGAGGGTTGTGGATAGACATGACTATCAACGCTACACGACACCGAGGGTTGTGGATAGACATGACTATCAACGCTACACGACACCGAGGGTTGTGGATAGACATGACTATCAACGCTACACGACACCGAGGGTTGTGGATAGACATGACTATCAACGGCACACGACACTGGAGGTTGTGGATAAACATGACTATCAACGCCACACGACACCGAGGGTTGTGGATAAACATGACTACTAACGGTCTAGCAATGCCCTATCAACGTTACACGACATCAAAGGTTGTGGATAGACATGACTATCAACGGCACACGACACTGGAGGTTGTGGATAGACATGACTATCAACGCCACATAACACAGGAGGTTGTAGATAGACATGACTATCAACGCCACATAACACAGGAGGTTGTAGATAGACATGACTATCAACGGCACACGACACTGGAGGTTGTGGATAGACATGACTATCAACGCCCCATAACACAGGAGGTTGTAGATAGACATGACTATCAACGCCACACGACATCGGAGGTTGTAGATAGACATGACTATCAACGCCCCATAACACAGGAGGTTGTAGATAGACATGACTATCAACGCCACACGACATCGGAGGTTGTAGATAGACATGACTATCAACGCCCCATAACACAGGAGGTTGTAGATAGACATGACTATCAACGCCACACGACATCGGAGGTTGTAGATAGACATGACTATCAACGCCCCATAACACAGGAGGTTGTGGATAGACATGACTATCAACGCCACACGACATCGGAGGTTGTGGATAGAAATGACTATCAACGCCACACGACATCGGAGGTTGTGGATAAAAATGACTATCAACGCCACACGGCATCGGAGGTTGTGGATAGAAATGACTATCAACGCCACACGACATCGGAGGTTGTAGATAGACATGACTATCAACGCCCCATAACACAGGAGGTTGTGGATAGACATGACTATCAACGCCACGCGACATCGGAGGTTGTAGATAGACATGACTATCAACGCCCCATAACACAGGAGGTTGTAGATAGACATGACTATCAACGCTCTATCAACGCTCTATCAACGCTCTATCAACGCTCTATCAACGCTCTATCAACGCTCTATCAACGCTCTATCAACGCTCTATCAACGCTCTATCAACGCTCTATCAACGCTCTATCAACGCTCTATCAACGCTCTATCAACGCTCTATCAACGCTCTATCAACGCTCTATCAACGCTCTATCAACGCTCTATCAACGCTCTATCAACGCTCTATCAACGCTCTATCAACGCTCTATCAACGCTCTATCAACGCTCTATCAACGCTCTATCAACGCTCTATCAACGCTCTATCAACGCTCTATCAACGCCACACGACATCGGAGGTTGTAGATAGACATGATTATCAACGCCACACGACATCGGAGGTTGTGGATAGAAATGACTATCAACGCCACACGGCATCCAATATTGTAGATAGACATGACTATCAACGCCACACGACACCGGAGGTTGTGGATAGAAATGACTATCAACGCCACACGACATCGGAGGTTGTGGATAGAAATGACTATCAACGCCAC